TATTGAATCAGTTTCTGTCCATGCATTAGACCTGAAGCCTTTTATAAAGAAATTATTAAGGACACACTGGCAGCTTTTATGGGATAGACAAATGCCCCACCGCGGTGTTCTAGTGGCTAAGGTACTCGGCTGCTGACCCGCAGGTCGCGGATTCGAATCCCGGCTGCGGCTGCTGCATTTCCGATGGAGGCGGAAATGTTGTAGGCCCGTGTACTCAGATTTGGGTGCACGTTAAAGAACCCCAGGTGGTCGAAATTTCCGGAGCCCTCCACTACGGCGTCTCTCATAATCATCAGTGGTTTTGGGACGTTAAACCCCACATATCAATCATCAATGGGATAGACAAACGGAAAATAAATGGCATCTCATAAAGCCGTGCCTTGACACCTGGTTACCAGTGCCAAAGTCTAGCTACACTGAAGTCACAATATGTAGAATGAGAATAGGACCCACATACAGTACGCACGCTCACCTAATATCCAGTGGTGACCCACCCATGTGTGAAAAATTCGGTGTACCACTTACTGTACTTCACGTTCTCCTTCAATGTACTCATCTCGATTCCATCAGAGAAAAGCATTTTACGTCTTATCGTGAACATCTCCCACTCCATCCTGCAAAGTTTATAGGCAGTGAACCTCTTTTTAAATCTGATTCACTCCTCCATTTTCTTGTAGATATTCGAAGTTTTAGCGTTACATATATCGGCAACCACAGCACGGCCTCTTGACTGAGGCTGCTCCTGCGGCGGTATTTTCAAAGAAAACGCTTGCCTCCAGGCCTTAGAAAACTAAGGACTCCAAGAAGCATGCATGCTATTATTCACCAGTTTTTACCTTTCGCCGTGATGATCACTCATCACCCATCGAACACCCTTCACTTTATACGGGATGGCGAAATTTTTCATTTCTGTATATATACATCTTTGTGCATTGATCTCACCTCGATCTCATAATTTAAATATGTACATTTTACCCGCCTCTAGTGCGTGGACATTTAAGGCCCATATACAGCTGCGTACCATAATCATTGTTTATATCTTATTCCCTCATTACCTGGCGCTCTTCGGCCAATAAGTAGCTCTTGCACCATAAACACCATATATCATCATAGCCTGCTAACTCGGCGGCGTGGTTTGCAGGATCCGCCCGCCACCGGCACTTGAATTCCCGTTCGCAGTTTCGCGCTACTTGTAAGGCTGCAGCATCATCGGTACGCAATAGCTGCCAGCCTTCCTGGCCTGTTTTCGTGCCCGGACAGCACCATATGCCCAACCGATGTGAGCTCTCATGTTTCCACTCTTGGAGCTCTGCTAGAGTTTTCTGTGGCTTACCCACGCTGAAGCTCTCCGTATAAACTGATGCGTGCGTGCTCGGCACCATGGCTATGGCGAATGGACGATGTCACTGACAACGCAGCCAATGGCGTGCGTGCTTGGGTATGACGCTGAGAACGACGTAACTTATAGGAGAGCCAATGGAGACTGCTTGTCACACCAATGCCGAACGTTTTCGTTTTTCCTATCCATATACAGCTTTCCCTGTAATATATATATATATTTTTTACCTTGGTCAGCGCTCTGTCAATTTTATCTATGGCTATCCCCGGCCAGCCGTTTCACTTTCGATTTTATTGATAGGCATGTCGTACTACTGTAACTCTTCACATTAACTGCTGTTTCTTTGGCACAAAACGTAATGGTAATCATATTTTCGAAGCCAAATATTGTATGTTTCATGGTAAATTGGTTCTCTTTTGTTTTTGTGTTCGTCAGCACATGGCTTGTTAACACGGGCTACTTGATGGGGTGGTATTTGTCCAAACTCGACCCCAACCAAATAAAAGAACCCAGAAGAGCAACGTGTGTGCAAGGAATGGAAGTCAGCACAGTAACAGGAATGCCAACTGCCCGACTGGGCGCCAACCATCAATGAAAACGAAAATCATGCAAGAACATAAAGCACATGCGGTAAGCCAAAACAAAAAAAAACGACCCACGCCGTGATCCGGAGAATGTGGTTTTATATGACGAGCAAACATCGCGTAACTTCGGTTGATGCTGGTATCGTCTTCCAGGGGACGCGCTAAATTCGGCACAGTGCTTTGAACATTGACGACCTCGTCCTCAACCTGGCCTTTAATACCAAAATCACCCCCCACCAAGCCACCTCTGACGCGTATACTGGTCATCTACCTTTAGAGATTATAATGCCAGACACTTTTCGCTAGTTTTATCTGTCAAAAGATCACCGCGAGTAAATAATGAATTTCTTCTTCATTTAGAATCTGTCCTGAATGTATCTGGTTGAGCTGGGTTTTCATGTAGGAATAATCACTTCTTGTGATGCAGAACTACAGGAAAATTGTTTATCGATTTCATTAACAGTTTTAGAACCATGCATAGTGTAAAGCAAATATCGACAGCAGTACTACCGATAAACTATACACTCTTCAAAAAAGGCAGTAATGGCAGTAATTGGGCTAGTAATGGTTTGTCACATATGATACAATCCTGCTGGTAAGTGCAGTTAGTATCAGCGAAGGTGGTAACAGTAACCACCTCTGTCATTGTTACCAGCGTTTAGTAAAGTTTACTACCCAAACCGTTACAAACAAGAGGTAGTAACTTTCAAAACATTTAGAAAAAAGTAGTTACCAATACTACCATGTCCATTTTGCCATATTTCTCAATTGTCACTTAATGACTCATTATCAAGCCACTTTAAATAATCATGCGTGGTGCCCCGTAGGGGCGCCTGCGCAAGCAGGCGTTTGGTGCGTACCGACACTACGGACTAGAGCTAACGGGGGGGCTTCGACTTCCTCCCACGCCTAGACGTGTGTGGCTGAGCCGTCTCCGGTGAAAAGGGGACGTGGGGGTTGAGCAGATGTCGCTTGATTAGACCTTTAAGGCCCCCGGTGGAGGCAACACACCCCTATGGCCTCGGCTTCACGTAGACGGCACCCCTGGGCTGACCCACTCGGGGGAAATCGGCAGTCGCCTTTTCCTGTCTCTTTCTGCCCTCATCTTTGTCTTTCTCTCTCACTTTGAATCTGTCATGTCTTCTACTCCATGGTGATAAGAGCTGCAGCTTGAGCACGAAGGTGCTAGAAGAAACGTGGAACGAAAGGCGAGGCAAGGAAAGCAAAGAGGACAACACGAGCGCTGCTTTGCTTTCCTTGCCTCGCCTTTCGTTTCACGTTTCTTCTAGCACCTTCGTGCTCGCGCTGCAGCCCTTATCACCATGGATTCTAACCGACTAGCCCAAATAGCCATTCTTCTTCTGTCTTCTACTCTTTTCCCTTACTTCTAGTTTTCCTGGCAACTAGGGTTCGCTTTATGTAGTTGCCCAACCTTGAGTAGTTAGTTTTATTTGGTTACACCAGCGATGGATGGCTGGTGTCTTCAAGTTATTTACCTTGCACCATCCCCTTGTTGGGTTCGATGGTGGGTGAGCACTATCGCCATCGCATTTTGATTTGTATCATGGCAAACCCTTTCCCTCCTCTTTCTGGTCGCCGCCCGAAAAGATGGCGCACCGAAGATAGCTTTACTTTTGCTTTAAACAAAGAACCGTTTTCTAAATACCATGAAATACACAGTCAACATGTAACAAAAACTGTCCGAACACTTTCACCATTCCTTGTATCAAAAGCCCTCATGGAGGCAATCGTCCCAAGTTTTAAAGTAACAAATATGGCAAGCAATGATTTTTTCTGGAAGCTCGTGATAAGCAACAGTACAAGAGACTGTCTAAACTTGTACCTTTTAAAGAAATCCTGGTGTCAGTGGGCCCTCATAGATCCTGGAATATTGTTCGTGGCTTCGTCTCTGACGAGGACCCTATTGAACTAAGTGAAGGTACTTTCCTTGAAGCATGGCAGGGCGAGAACGTTGTCAAAGTACAAAAAATTATGATAAGACGAGACGATAAACAACTCCTAACCAAGCCCATATTCGTAACATTTGAAACCGAGATCCTCCACGAATCCATCAATACTTGCTATTGCAAACTTCATTTAGGACCAAATATACCAAATCCACGTCATTGCTTTAAACGTCAGCGCTTTGGACATTTGTCGCAGAGCTGCCGAGGGTGTGTCACATGCGCCAAATGAGCATCCAATGAACATCCGGCAACTGCAACTCTGCTGCCCGTTGTGCGAACTGCGAAGGGGAACAACCCAACTATGCATGAACATGCCCCTCGTGGGAGAAAAAGAACGAAATGATCGAATTGGGAATTAAATTTAACCTGTCCTTTCAAGAAGTGCGCAAACATGTTGCCGTAAATAACCAGTCCTCTTATTCCTTCACTGACGTGGCGCACCAAAGCGCCGTGCCACGTCTGTTCGCGCCCGCGAATATCCCCCTGAGTGTGACTGTGGTCGCGTCACCAGCGCCTTCGGCTGGAGCAGCCTGCGCTGCTCCGCCCATCGATTAGCAGGTCCAGAACACTCACGAGTCTGCAGGAGCCCGGGCCACTGCAAGCGCAGTTAGGTTGAAAACCACAGTAAATGTTTCTGCCAAGCTGGCACCACCCGCCACCTCACAAGAGATGTTGGATACAAGCCCCACTCCTCCGGTGCCCCAGACGTCGAAGGACCAGTGCAGCTCTTTGGAGCGCACCAAAAAAGAGAAAATCCGCATTAGAGCGCCCCCTAAACGCCCTGAAACGTAAGGCACCACTTCTGTACGCACAGCACCTCACTACATCAAAATGGAGACACAAATGTTTCCGTGAACGTCAGAGGACTCTTGAGATACCTCGACAATAAAAGCAGCATAGTCGTTTGCATTCCATTTATATGAAGCTTCGCTCATGGGTTGTATTCGTACATGAAACAGCTGCTAGTTTCTTTTTTATTCGTTTCACCTAGCCATATACAGCTTTCGCTGTGAAACACCTAATTTAAATTTCTCAGGCATCTCTTGCGCTAAACGTCTTAATAATGAGAGCCATTGAGTTTTTTTCCTCCTTGCGTCTTTTTTTTTTCAGAAATCGCAAGCTGCAAGAGGAGGAGAAATTACGTGTTTGTTCGAAGTTCGTATGGCCATACTGTTCAAGAATACCATAGGTGAAAGAACGAAATGCACTGCGGATAAGGGCGAGTGAACGTGCAAAATATGGCAAGAAGCTGTTCTTTCCGACATATTTTATATCACCATGAGTGACCTCTCTCTAAAATACCTAGGATCTTCTTGCGTGCCTTTTTTTTCAGTGTCTAGCAAATGATTTCTTCCCGAAATATATTGTAAGCAATCAGCTGCAAATTTATTTACCTAACAGTCATGGGGCCTCCGGTGCCCAGACAAACGCGGACGCAACTGACGTTGAAACGGATCGACTTCGGCTGTTACTAAATGGTGCGTTGAACAACACACACTCTCAAAAAAAAAAAACAGGCCTGGGCGGCACCCACCGCATCGTCGCAGCTGAAGCTTGGAGAATGGCTTTTCAGAGCCTTTTGAAGCACTATTTGGGTAACTGCTGCACACTTTCAGGGTACCCACTACCTCTTAAATCATCATAATTTTTCTGCCGGCAATAACCATATGCCAGTTCATCATTCTTTAGTGAAGAGTGATACCCGCTCCACACTTGTAAAGAATTTCGTGCCATTTTTTTATGATGTGGTTGACGACAATGAAAATTTCATGTGGGTTTTAACGTCACAAAATCATTATCATTAGCTGAGACACCGTAGTGGAGGGATCCGGAAATTTCAACCACCATGGGCTCACTGCGGTGTGGCGACAATGAAAAAATATGCTCACTGCTATGGTAAAGGGGTTGTACCATTCGATGACCCACTCGTTACGCAGTACACTTTGTGTGACGCCTGGCTATTATTTTGCTGTTCTAAATGCTTTCATACATGCATTAATCTAATTTCTTTCCCGACGTGAAGCCTGCCTAGGGTCAGTTTGCCACGGAGTTCCAAGCACCGGCGAAGCTCAGTGGTGGAATACTGGACTGGCTCGCAGCACACCCGGGTTCGAATCCCATCGTGTTCATTTTGTTTTTATTTACGTTTTTTTTTTCCTCGCTTAGCGTGATAGTGGTTACGGACACTGGTGGCGCTGCAGTGTAGGTGGTGGCGGACAACTACGGCACACGTGACCCATGTTGTAATGTTATAACAGCTTTTGCTGTAAGAAGCAATGAGATACATGGCGTCGTCTCTCAACTCATCAGCGCTACTCAAACTGCGAGGTTATCTGCACATACATTGAGAGGCGTCACCAGCAGCGTCGCAGACGTGTTTAGAAACGAGGTAGATAACGTTTAAGATCACGGTGTCGTTCACTTGCGCTACTTAGAGCAGGAGAAGCACACGATACAACGGCAACCTTTCTTTCATATGTAGATGTATATCCTAAATTTTTGGCTCACACCTACCCTGAGGGATTGGCCAAGAATTGGGTAGCTTAAAAAAAGAAAGAAATATGTTTAAAACCTAGCGAAAAGAATACTTTTTCGCTCATACGCCACAAATATTGATTTTTTTTGTAAATTATTCATGAGGAAAAAATTGGTTGAATTAGTTCCCACTGATACAGCAATAAATGATTGATATCAAAAGCAACTTTCCGGTAGCCGACAGTGGTTAATGAGAACCTTTGGTATTGAGGTTATTGAGTAAATCTCTTCGACTGTTCAACGAAATCTTGCTCGGCCTCGCACAGTTCTCCGTTGCTGTGTCCAAGAGCATGGGCACCTAGGTATAGTAAATTTGATGTCGAAGCTAATGCAACAATTCGTAACAGCGTTTCTAGAAATGCCTTTCTTAATGTTGAAATATTTCGACAAGAGATGAAGAGAGAGAGAGAGAAATAACATTTATTTATACTGTGGGGAAGAAGATGGACACATGCGGAAGCGCATTGCCATCGCCTGGCTCGCTCGGCTGTTCGCTCCCTGGCTACGCTTTGCCTGCTGCTGCTGCTGCTATCTTCCCGGTCGCTGTGTACCTCAATAAACCCCCGTAACAATACATCCGGCGTGTAGGAAGTCCCCGGCCTCGCAGGGCACGGATGATCCCTATCTTAAGATTACGGCTACTAGATTTCGATAATCTCTGAGCCTAGACCTCGAGGATGTTGTGCTCTGACTAGGCGACAGTTACTCGGAAGCCTCCGCGCCCGTTAGACGGGTCGTCGGCTCCTTTTCTCCTTTGCTTCGCCAAAGCCTCCTCAAGCCGCTGGATGGCCCAAGAGATGAAGTGTTCTAGAGTTTTGTCTTCTCCACAAAAAGAACAAAGCGACGAAGGAGTCAAGTCTCCTTTGAAGAAATAAAAATTTAATGGAAGTATGTGACAGCGTAATCTAGTGATTAAAATTTCCAGACTTCTGTTAAGACGGTCGTTTTCCCGGGTGTCATTACATGGTTGAAATTCCGGGAATTTCTCAAGTATAATTTAGAAAATTCGGGTATTATTATTTGCCTCCGAAATATTGCCATACTATATATACTATATATACTATAATACTTATACAATATATACTATAAAAGCTGTTGTAGGGGTAATATTGATAGCTAGCCCATATTACGCTGCGTTCGCAAGTGCAACAACAGTTTCATTTAGAGTTGTGCGTCTATTTCCAGGCACCCATATCAATCGTACCTGAGGTAAATGGTTAGGTACTAATGAATTTAAACCACTTAATGCTTTAGAATCACCAGTTTCCATGAGCGCATGGCAGACCGGTAAAGGGTAGATTAATATTATGATGGAGTTTATTGAAGTCAGTTTTCAAAAGGCTAGTACTACAGGTAAACATTCTGCAAGAAAAATGGGTGGGAAATCTGGAATTCACAGGGGAAAGGACCAGACCAATGCCACTCTTTTCCTTTATATGCGAAGCGTCCGTCGCATTGATATTTGCTTGCATTCTTAGCAGGTAGTCCTGTAAAGTCGCTCTTAACAAATTGCTTAGTAAGCGTTTAACACTACCAAAGCAATTATTAAAGTATACTTGGGGAGAATATGTTGAGTTACATATCATAATGTTTTTCTAATTTGCAATGACAGTGGATCTTATCTTTGGTTCATCATGCTTTCTGACCTACTTCTTTTCTTTTCGACTGTACAGTGAACTGTTCTCCGTATCCACCCTGTCTTCGCGCCTAAGAGCCCGGTGTGCTCTCTGTTAGATTTTTTTTCCATGCCACAACGCTGTTTGGGCGGTGCGTGGTAGCATATTATCACATCTGCACTTTATGCAGATGATTATATTAATAACGAAGATGACGAAGACACCGACGGTGAATTTCACTTGGATGGTCCCTGCTCTAGTATACGCATATAATCAATCAAAGCATTTGCGCGAGCAGCCTCGTTCACGGGCTTTTATTAAATTTGTGAACTGTACTAAATGTATTTTACGCAAGCTTTACTCGTTGCTTCACTGGTGCTCTGTACCAGGCGAGGAACACCTAGAATTCGCGGGCCTCAGGCAGCCCGTATGGCAGTATTATGTAGCCCCAGGCACGCGACGTCAACCCCCTACCTTCCTTTATCACTTTATCTGAAGACCAACATGGTAATTTAGACCTAAAATGGTGCTTTCCCTAGTCACCTATGTGTCTTAAATTTGTGACATCAGGTGCAACAAATAAACGCAATGTATAATCCAGTTCTTCGCAATAATGCCGATTCACCTTTTTTTTCTTTACCTACGAAGACCGCTTGAATGGCAGTGAAGCCCCCGCTGTGTCGTCATTATACAACTTAGCCCTCAGCGTCCAAAGGTTGCCGACCACTGCTGTAAACAACCTATACTTCAATATAGCGGCTTATACTAAGGCAAGAACTATGCAGGAATATTCTCTGCTGAGAAATTTGACTCTGCACTAACGAAAACCCGTGTAATTTACAAATAAATAGAATTGACAGTGTTCTCTTTCATTAATATATTGATGCAAAAAATTATTGTACCAATTTATAGTAAGACATTCCACTCTTTAGTACATTTGTGATACGAAATTGCTTTACTGAAAGAGGGTGGTGCCCGCGTGTGAACAAACGCTGCCATTCATTGATGGATAAGCGCAGTCTCACGAGCACCTTGACTCAAGAATACCAGGTGATGCAGCACTTAGCACTGCATCACAATGACATTCCACGCTCTTGCAAGTCCCCGCGCCAGCCGACAGGGAGTTATGGTGGTCACACGCTAGCATTTGAAGGTGTAACAATAACTGTATTGTGACCGGTGGCGATGCGAAACGCCTCGCCCGACCTAGAAGAAGCTGGTCACGCGTCTTTCTGGGTACTCTTCGCTCAGCTTCATGATCACTTGTTTGTTCGGGACCACTTAGGATTGTGCTGCGTACAGGGGGTACACGGGCATTTCCTGCCTGTTAGACCTGCCTTTACACGTCGACGTGGGCGTCAGAACTCATCGAATTCATTTTTATCACAATAGTAAAAAAAAGGACATCATACATCACTTCACTTGTTAAGTGCTTGGTAAAGTGGACCGCTGTAAACATGACGGAAAAGTGCAACAAACGGGACAAGCACTCGACCCCTTTTTCAGTACCGCTAACGACGCTTCGCTTCACCAATTATGCATCATCAGTTACATGGTCTAAACGTTTACTCATGTACAGTAATTAAATCTTTAGTGGAAGGTCTTATGCCCTGCCTTCTTTATGATAACTACAATTAATGTACGAGATAGGCTAGGCAGTGAACGACGGTGCGTAAGGGTCGTTTCATTATTTTTGCCTTTAATATCTTTGCTTGGTCACGTTTTTCTCAATGTTCGACAATTGTATGCAGGCAACACGTTATTTTCGAGTGTATTTGGCCGCGTCATCACAGATCTTCGCCGTGCACTGAAGTTTTATTTTTATACTTCATTTCATGTTTTGCTGGCGCACTAGAAGCTTAGCTAATATGTATTAGGTCACCGAGAGAGAGGAGAGGAAGAGAGACAAGACTTCATTTTTTTGTTCTTGCTGGGGTCAAGGGAGGCGGGGCCTGGATGACTATAGCCTAATTGAACTTGAACTGTTTTGAGCACTTCACATACTTTCAAACTTTGAAGTTACGGCTATGCAATCATTAATGTGTCCAAGTGTGGTTTTATGAAACTTTACTTTATCTCAGGGAGACGTTAGTTCATTAGAATTTGCTGTTGGCCAAGTTGGTTCATACTTGGTAGGTAAGTATGGTTGCGCACAAACAACACAAGTACAAGGCAGGCAAGGACAAGAGCAAATGCTTAAAAGTTCGCGCTTGTCCATGTCTGCTGTGTTCTTG